AATATATACATATTCTAGCCTTTCACACTTGTCATCGTTGTCGACTTATTTTGGCTTTCGATATTCGGTTACTAGTCTCAAGTAAAAACTGACGCATGAAATGTCCGTCCCATGACCCAAGTGGGGGGGGGGGGTTACTTTACCTACTATTAATGTATATTAACAGACAACAACAGCGATCGCCAAACTTCAATGCACATCTGATTTATGGACATGTATAGATGAAGTGGATTTAGAAATGTAGATACAGCGTGTTGTTTCTTTTTGTATAAATTGAAAAGCTAAACAACGAGATATTTAAACAAAACATTTTTAACAGTTTAAATCGCGAAATATGTTAGATAAGTTATTTTAACTACGGTCTACGTGTCGGATGCTTTGCAGCTACCGAGGTCACGGGGGGAAAACGTAATGTAAAAATAGGTTGTATAATATATTTCGGGTTTTAAACCGTGAAAAGTGTTTTATTTAACTCCGAGCAACTTTAATTTATGTCTCAACATAACATGCAATACTTTGTGCAGTCAACTTGCCGCGTCTGCACGGAGCGGTGGAGAATGTGAACAAACATACAAAAAAAGTTGTTTGTACCATCGAAATATGTTAAACTACTTTGTGTGTTTGTTGATCTGTGTGTCTAGATTATGCTAGTGTTTTCGGGTGAGTAGTATTATTTATGTGTATAAATATTGTTTATTACCATTTTTTTTTGCTCTATGACATTAGAATTACAACAAAGCGCTGGAGAATATAATTCAACATACACTCAAATTTAAAAGCGTCAAAATACATTTTGAAATAGTCAGTTTCTTATGGCAAAGTACGAACTTTTTGTCAGTTGCTGGTAGCCCCCTTGTCTTTTTCTCTTTAATCGAACCTAGAACCTCTCGCTAAAAACGCAATTGATTACCAAGCAATGCAGTGGGCTGATACTTGTATTTGTAACGCATCTACTGCGTTTTATGATCTCTGACGTCACAGTTCATTGGAGAAATCGGCAAATAAATCAAATTTAGCTAAACTGTCGGGCTCGGAGTTGATCTACACTCCGCAATATGACACTCCATAAATCGACGATAACAAAACGGTGCACGGGACATGCATTTTCGTTTTTATGCTCCACTTGTACGAAATAATAATATATATAGTGGCCAACGTCATAAAAATATAATAGAATATTATACGCCAATAGAAATTCAAATAAGTGTTTAATACACACTTTTCAATTTGAAATTATTTCTTAAAATAATAGAGGGCAAACAACAGCAGGGGTATTGAAGATGTGTTGACAGCTTTTTTTTCTTAAAAGTCGTATGGTACGAAAATACTGAAGTTGCCATCTTATTCTACACACAACACAATACATTTTTATTATTTCGTCCGGTACAAGCTTTTAAAATTTACTTTGATTATAAACTAAGTTTCTTACGTAGATCATTATTAAATTCTATTTAATAGCTTAAAAAGTTAACTAGCGTAATTTACCACCTGTGTAGATAAAGGGTTAAACGTTAAACATTGCGTTATGTGCGAGAGGTCCTGGGTTCGGATGCCGAGGAAACAATAGATTGTTTCTGTCGGGCTGGGTACGGACACAGAAATGTGTTCATCGTACTTTAAGGGGGACAACGACTTTCCCTTTTTTAATAAATTGTTGAATAAATTTTTGAAGAAATAAGGCTCTTGTTAACAACTTAGATTATCATTATAGGATCTAAGTTAAATCTGTACAAATGTATAAAGCTGAAGAGTTTGTTTGTTCGTTTGTTTAATGCGCTAATAAAATGCGTGTTCGAATTGAAAAATTATTTTTGTGTTGGTTAGAACATTTATCGACTAATAGAAGCAAAGACACAGCGAGAAATGTGAAAAAAATTTGGAAAAATATTCATCATTATGGGTTACAGAGGCTACGCTACAAAAACGATTCAAGATATCCAAAAAAGTTGTACGAACTTGTACTCCCGATCTAAAAAAAGTCCATGACGCTATATGTCTATCTTTAAGATTAACTTGCAAGAACTACGGGAAGGGACGCGACCGACGTCTTGGTTAACAGCTTAAGTCTATAACGACCAAGGGGTTTGCAAAAACGAACTTGGATGCCCAAAATAACGATTCTCGCGGACGAAGTCGCTGACACAGCTAGTGTTATATAAGTTGCGTATAACACGCAAATACAAAACATGCAGCATGTATTGTAAAAGTTTGGAATTAAAAATGTAGCATTAACGAATTAAAGTTCCCTTAGAATTTCGTTTCGCTCAGAAAATTCGTGTTGAAACTTCTCGAGTTTTCAACTAGCAAATTGAATAATGAAAATTCTGTATGGATACGACACGTCGCCCCATTTTGGGGGTTAATTTTCAGATCAATGCGGGACTCAATTCGTTACCAGGGGTACAGAACTATTTAACCACGGCAACGAGTTTTAAAGCAACCTTTTTGATACTGGCAGAAAAAAGTTTACAATTTCTCTTCGGAAAACTTAAACAATCTGTTTGACATATTGGCATTAAATACTGTCTATACTTTACGCGAGTTGTACACATTTAAATAAAACATTTGAACGGTTTAAAACGCGATATATTAGTTAAACTTATTTGAAAATGATTTTAACCGTGACCACGGCTGCTGCAAAGCATCCGAAACGTCAGGTCGAAGTTAAACTAATATATCGCGTTTTAAACCGTTAAAGTGTTTTATTTAAATATTGGCATTACATACATTAAAAATCTTTTAAATAAAACGCTTTAACGGTTTTCGGGGAGGCAATTTAACTAATAAAAATGGAGGTTTAAATCCTTGTTGTGTTTAATTAACAGACAATATTCATAAGCTACCTTTATTTTGTTACAGGTAAAACTGCAATTTGCAACTAATAAGATACTCAATTACTATTTTAATAAGCCGCTACCGAAACTAGATATGCAGAATTGATGTCGCTGGCTGTACGTCTCTTAGTGAAATATATCGTACATACAGCGTGGTCAGGGCCTGTGTCTAAGCGATTATTCTGAAAATGTCGGGACATGTCCTGGGGAGAGATTCATTGGTTCATGAAACATCATCTGTCTCTGTCTAACACTAGATATTCAAAACCATTGAAAGGGACAAAAGATTGCACAGAAATTAATATATTTTTAATATAGAGGAGGAGAGATAATGCAAGCGTGGCGTTCACTCGATGGGTGGTGACATACCCCAGCCATATAACATCTAAGCAAGCATCTATTTTGGCTTTGGATATTCGGAAATCCACAGACTAAAACCTAAAAAAGGGTTAAAACTTCCCCCCTTTCCATGTGTGCACAGTTATTTGTGACCTGGGCGGAAATATCCAGACGAAGACGAACATGTTTCAGAAAAATTATAACTTGGAAAATCTAAACGCTAAATATCGTAACTCCGATGCTAGTCCCGGAACAACAAAAATGTGTATTGCAGTTCGGTTTCCATCTATAGCTCTCCAATTGTCCAAAGCTGACATAGATCGACAGTGCATCTTGCTTAAAAATTAAAGGTAAAAAATGGGGCCCACTAGCGATGATTGTTGTTTGGATGGTAGTCAGAAACTACGGAGTGATTCAAATGGGATATTAAAATTCAAATCTTTTATTACCATTAAATTTACAAACTTATAATAATAAGAGATGGCAATCGGTACCAGTCTCAGCTGTGCCACTGAATACTTGCTACACTGAGCAGCGCTGATTTTCAGACTGTTATCCCCTAGATTGCTTAATGCCGGATATGCTTCGAGAATGCTGTTAAACGCTAATAGACAAATATAAATATTGTTTATATTATGATAAATTATCGAGCTAGTGATAATTTTGGTTTTAAAAGACAGTCTATTTATACAGTCACAAAATAATGTTAAGTAGTTAGACAACTAGTGGTAATATAAATACTAAATAATTACATAAACATTGGAATGTAATTCCTATTCACGACATTTAAAAATATGAATTTTATATTAAACAGGTTTAAAGGTTTAAACTGCAAAATACCAGGGTTTTATTTTATTCGTTTAGTACCTTAACCCCACCCCCCACTTCCCCTTCTGTCTACTTGTCCTTTTGACTAAGCAGAACTGATAGCAGGGTGTTTAGGACACTGGGTAGATCACACAATTGCGTTGGAGTATTTAATAGTGGTAATCTTCATAGCTGTGTCTGAACCGTTTTCGTAGCGTACGCATCGGAAACCCACAGAGATGAATAATTTTCCCCGTTTCTTCCACAAGACCGCCTCTGTAGCCAAATGGTTAAGCCTAGCATTGCGTTAGGCGCGAGAGGTCCTGGGTTCAAATCCCTGGAAAACAAAAAAATTGTTTCGGTCGGGCAGGGCACGGAAGTACTATTCGCATTTTAAACCGGTAAAGTGTTTCATTTAAAAACCATTGTTTATAAAACTTAGATCAATGTCTGTTTTTCGCATGGTTGTTATAATGTAACATTACACCAGAATAATTTCTATTAAATTTAAATATGTTGACTAATAGTTATATTACCTATATTTGTTTGTAAAGCGTTATTTGACACTTTTAAAAGCGAAATAGTGCTGCCTTTGTAAACAATACTAAAGTAATACAGAGGATTATTGTTATATTTGCCTTTGTAATTTTCTTGCTATTGTGGTTGTAGAGGAATGAAGAGAGAGAGAACCGGGGTAAAGTAACTTTTCCACACTGACGAAATAACAAATAAAAATAATACAATAAAAAACAAACAAAAACAACAAATGTGGGCAAAGCTATTAAATGTTATTTGTTATATTATACTTAAACTTGTAGGTCAATAACCTTAATCAAGGAAACTACTGGGTACATTAATGTTCTTAATAATTATTACACTGTTTTGTTCGTTTTTTGATCGCGCATACGGAGCCCTAAATATATAGAACTACACGATTCATTTTTTTATGTTTACAGCACTTATGTTTTGTACTAGCTGGCTTTAGTGTGGTAACTATCGCAGTACAGATTGGTCGGTGCAATGGAATTTAAACCTAAGAAAAATATTCTACTTTTGTATCCAGACACTTTCGATCATGTCAAACAAAGTATCAATCTTGGGAAAGCAGGTGAAATGGAAGACGCAATTAAAACTCTTAAAGAGTGGGTTTATAAACAACCGCATTTTAAGAGAAAAGATTTTTGTAAGTATTCTTTTAATAACAATATGTTTTATATCACTTACATGGTAGCGTTTGTTTCCGTAGCTCAATCGTATTGGTATCGAGTTAAGCACGAGTCCTAAATTCGATTCCCGGTAAAACATTGAATTGTTTAGATTCGAACACAGAAGTTCGATCAATAAAAATAAAATCTATAAGTGTAATGGACTTTAGATTTTAGATGACAGATTAAAAAAAACTGAAAATGTATTTGATAGCTAGAAAAAATATTGTGTTCCAGTCTGGATTAGTAAAGTTCGTAAATTCGAGTCCCAACTTTTGTATTTTATTTTTAATTTATTTTTAACTTTTTTGGTATGTTAAGTTAATTTAGTAATAAATGTTGTTTATTATTTTGTGCTTTATATGTACATACTTATATGTCTATCTGTAATATTATTGTTATATTTTCAAATGAGTAGTTTTTGAGATGATCGTTTAAACAAAAAAAAAAGAATTGATTTTAGCTGTCATTGTTGATTTAAAGCTTATTTTTTAAGATACTATATATATTACGATGTCATTAGTAAAGAAGTGGTTAACATACTGCATCATTTAAAGCACGAACGATTTAGTCCCCGATGAACAGTGTAACACACAGAAATGTGTTCGTTCCATGCTCCAAAGTAGGATCGAAAATTTACGACACTTGTTTACGAAATACTGTATAATACAATGGAAACTGGATAAACAATATTTACCTTTCATTAGAAGTACTTGTTTTATATTTTTTCAGAGACCGGTTTTAACCTGTCATGAGTTGAAGTGGTTGATGTTTAGTTAACATCCTCATTACTATTGAAATGTATGCTAATATAATATTTGATCGTGGATAGAATAAATATTACATAACTCAGAATAATACACCAGAGGAATAACATAATTATCAAAATTAACGGCGTAAATATCTGTTCCTCGTGATTCCTCAACATGTATGATTTTAAATTAGTAACGAAACAAATGTATTCGTTACTAAGTAACTAGTAATTACCCTAATTGAGTATCACGAACTGAACGCTATAATTACAAGTTATTTTTGAGTATTGTATCGATATTTTCGTTTTGATATTGCGACTAGCATATTGATGTATGTGTAGCTAAATATAATATAAGTTATTTTTTTATTGACGGTCGATACTAGAAAAGAAAATGACCTACTTTAGAACTGTTCTTCCAGAAAGACATATTTGTGTGTCGCACGAAAATTTTGGGGGTGAATTTTCTTTAATTATCATGTGAACTTGGTATTCTACAATTTAAACGTACGAAAAATAGGAACGTGCAAGTTACTTGGGTAAAAAGTAAAATAATAATAAATAACTATGACAAAATGGCCGTCAATTTGCAATTTATGACGATCGTTTGCATTTCCTGTATAATTAAGCGAGTAATTGAATAATAAAACACAAATAGCAAATGTATATTTAAAATTATTTTTAATAAGTCGCCATCAGAAAACTGTGTATAACAAAATTACTCTTTGTTATACATAAAAAGTTATTTATAAAAAGCATTTCCTATAAACTGGTACGAGTTCCTAGGTTTAAATACCCGTGGAGCGAAGCTAATCCAGTGAGGTAAGGCGCCAATAGCAACTGAAATGAGAAGAATATCGATCAATATAACTGACACTTTGGTGTTCCCCATTCCACAATAATGGAAATCCAGCAGAAGGGCTCGTTGGTCTTATGGTGGCAATGTATGGCTAATAACCAACGGGTCGTGGGATCGATCCCCACCAGGTGCTGAAACCATATTACCAGACCAAATTAATTTGGACATTAAATGGGTGGGTACTACTGGTGGGGCACTTGAAAAAGCTGTGAAGTTTGATCGCATTTCGGTTTCAGGCTGTGGATTTCTAAATATCGACAGCCAAAGCCAATGGGTCCACAGCACATCTTCTACAGATGTTATATGGCTGGGGTATTTCACCTCCCATCAAGTGTACTCCACGCCAGTCTGTCTTCCTCTATCATTAAAAAAATATATTTTTCAGGTGACAGCCTCCTGCAGTCAGCCATTATCGCCTCGAAAGGTTCCATAGAGGCTTCTAAGCAGAAGATAGACAGGATTTGCACGCTTCGGACACTAATGCCAGACACGTTCAAATGCTTTGATGCAAGGAAAGACTTTGAGCATGTCTTTCGTAATATGTATGTACCGTTTTTATGATAAAGGGAGGAAAGAGGAGCATGGTGTTTCCATAAGTTCACCTTAAGATTCCTTAAATTCACTTAATATGTTTATACTATTCCATATAACAAGTCAACGAGATGCACTACCTATTTCGAGTTTGGATATTCGGAAATCTACAGATTTAAAACCAAAGGGTTTAACCTTCCACCTATTTAAAATTTCCAGATTCCAAGTCTTGATTCACGTAGAGAAAAGTGGACTTACATTTTTATTATTTTACACAAAATTATTGATTCTAAATCGAAAACTATTTCTTATTACACATTAATTCTGTTATCTAGTTTTTTAACGACAAACGTGTATATCATATATTTTATGTGTAGATAGTAATATCGAAAATTTCCTATCTCTATGATTGTATATTCGTTACTTCTACGTTATTCAATCATTCTAACAAAAATAGTGTCTTTTTTGTTTAAACAGAACAAACTTTTTAAACGCATATTAGTTAGCTTGTGTATGTTTACAATGTTTTGCAACAAACGTGATCACGGGGGGTGGGGGGAGGTCAAACCATCTTTTAGAATTTGAAAAATATCGATTACACCAGCTGGATTCAAAGCCAAACAACGTTTTAAGATTAACCTATAATGTATACCATTTTTTAATGTTATATAAATTTTCAGTATATTATTTATTTATTTAACTCCTCATCCACAAACGTACAGTTTCTGCGTGACTAAAATCCACAAATGAATTTCAGACAAATAACCGTTCTACCGCGGCTTACGAAGGAACACTATCGTATATTTACCGTCAAAGTAAATGGATCTGTGGAATCCTCACAAGTGACTGATGCTATGAAATATACTTTGCTGGTAAGTTCATAGTTAGGTAAAAAAGGAAATAAGCACACAGATTAAATAAAATTATCAAAAGCTTAGTGGTTAGAACAATATTATGTTAAATGTGAGGGGGGTTCAGGGCCAGGACCCACAACCCCCGGGCCTTTAAGGATACCCCCAAATGGGGTTTTAAAAAAAAACCCATTCGGGGTTAAAAACGGAAAAATTGTTAATGAGCTCAGCACCCACCATGCCACCAAAACGCATGTTTTAAACTTTATACATTTACTTATATTGAATTTAAATGTTAATTTCTAACCGTAATAAACAATAAATAAAAGCATGTTAATTTATACATTTATAATTTGAATTTAAAATTAAAACTACTCAAAAAAGAAAAGAGAAATTCAGAGGTACTTTTATAAATAATGTATATGTTTTGATATTATAAGATAGTAATGTAGGTGAGTAAATAAGTACTATCAGTGTATATGTTGAGATCCAATATCGTGAACCTCCATTTTCATTTCATGGACCCCAATTTTTTTTTCTCTGACGTAGACCCTTTGCAGTCATAGATCCCTAGGGGTCGATAAAGACAACTTTGGGAATCACCGGCCTAGACGAAAAGATAATTTTACACGCCTGTGATAATATTAAAGCAAAAATAACATTGATTAAATATAAATTAAACCATAAACAACATACTACTATTGTAATTTTTACTAATGGATAAATTCAGGGAAAGCAAGTCGTATATTCAAATTTCAGATTTCTCGCTCTTAATGCGCTAGACCAGAAGTGACCAACCTTTTTATAAGTGGGTTATCAATTATCAAAATCTAGTGGCGGACCAAAAGTTTATGATTTTATGTATTATAATTGAAATAGTAGATCTCCCCGTGACCACGGCTGTTGCAAAGCACCCGAAACGTCGGGCCGACGTTAAAAATAATTTTCAAATAAGTTTAACTAATATATCGCAATTTAAACCGTTAATAATTCCTTCTTGAATGTGTACTACTCGCGTAAACTATAGACAGTATGAAATAGTAGAGTTTAAAAATAAAAATAATAGACAATTATTTTTTAACAATATAAAAGTTGAAATCATCGTACCATATTTTAATATTTAGTTATATTAGTCTAGTTATGTTCTCTTTTGTGTATAGCTACAAATAGACTGCAATTTTCAAAAATTCATCGGTGGACTGTAGAAAAATGTTTTTCAGCAGGTTATCTACCCCTTCCTTTAAGCTGTAGTAGCAGGCGTAATTAAAACTTAATGAATTTCAAATTTCAGATCGGAGATTATATGAAAGCGTGCGATTGTATAGCGGAATTCGTCGCTGTTTTCGATTTATCAGAAGTGAATAGTATGGTGGATTTAATAACGAGCTTGAATGTTGTGCACTTGAGGAATAGCTTAACAGTTTGTTTTGTAAGTATTTTTTTGCTTAATCGACTATGGTCAGTACACGACTGCAGACCGGTGTCCTGGCCGTTCTTCGAACGTGTCCTGCTTGGAGAGCACATAAAAAATATTATTGTGCTCAAGAATCTAACTACCAATCCCACTAACTCGGTGTTTTTCATATAGAGGATAATAAGAGGATAAAGTCAAGTGTGGGGTCACTTGATGGTAGTTGATCCTATAGCATCTAATTCTACCACCAATTAATACCTAACCAAGACAAGTGTTCCAGATGAATTATACAGAATAATTTAAAGTCCGGTGGAAATAAAACTCACTAATTGTTTAAATAAAACACTTTAACGGTTTAAACGCGATATATTAGTTAAACTTATTAGTCTCCCCGTGATCACGGCTGCTGCAAAGCATCCGAAAACGTCGGGCCGAAGTTAAAAATAATTTTCAAATAAGTTAAACTAATATATCGCGTTTTAAACCGTTAAAGTGTTTTATTTGAATGTGTACTATTCGCGTAAACTATAGACATCATTTCACAATTTTTTTTATTATTACCTATATACCTTTGATCCAAAGAGACCAACAAAACGTCAAACTAATTGCTTTTTTTTAATATTCGTATTTAGGAAGGCCATGGTTTGAGATTGAAGGGCCTCTACTTCATAACAACATCAAGAGTCATAGACACCTTGATTACGATCCTGAAGCAATTACTTAAACCGAAGATAATTCAGAGGATAAAAATCTTCAAGAGCTGGGATGATGTTCACGATACGATTGGGAAGGATGTACTCCCGGTGGACTTTGGTGGTTATGAGAAGTCGGAGCAAGAGGTTCACGGTATGTATTTAAAGTGTTAATAGAATCCACAACTACAACAGATTAATATATGTGCATAGGTACGCTGCAATAACGATTTTCAGATCTTTGATTTGTTATTTATATAATTTATGTATTAGGTAACTAATTTATGTTTTTATTTCTTGTTCTTAATGGCTCAGTGATTACACTTACTGTCTTAAGCTCAGTTTTAAATCCTTGAGATTATACTTTGCGTTTGTAAGCTCAATCGATCAACTAAACGGTCACATAAATATGTCTGCCTCGGTAATCGGATATCACGAATGGATGTTCTTATCTTGATAGAGACCTTAAGCAAACGTCTATGTATCCTTGTGCGCAATGTGGCGAATTTTTTACAGAGATGTCGTTGATCAGACTTCTATAATCTGTTCTATCGAAATAAATTGCTGTTCCCTGGAATCTGAACAAAGGAGCTTTCGCGTAGGCTAATTAACCATTCAGCTACAAAGTCTGTCATACGTCAAGGCGTTAGTAGGTTATTACCTCGGTAATGTAATAACTTATATATACAAACTAATATTTCTATTTCTCTCTTCTTCCAGATGAATGGATTAACGCTTTATGCGATGAAGACTTCAGAAAATACCTGAAAGAATTAAATTCAGCTACAGTAGACGAATCGAGCAGACCGTCGTGCAAGTTTATTGAAGAGTACGCGGGGATGCCGGGGACCTTTAGACTATTAAGCGTAGATTAGGTTTTATTCACGTTACATGTATCAGGTAGGGTTGCCAAGACGTTTTTGGTGAAATATAATATAGATAGACCTTTAAAATATAGAATACGCCTAGAAAATCCAGTACTTTACAGAAAATTTTCAAACAATCCCTAAGAGACCCTAAATTAAATAAAAAATGGTGTAAAAAGTATTTTTTTTTGTACTGTATATTACTTTTAAAGAATGCAGATCAGACATAAAGTATAAAATTATATAATATAGTACGATTGGCAATTGGTATACGTTTTAGCAATTTTTCCCTGTAAGGCGTCGAAAAACAATAATATTACAAAAGCCGTCAACCTCGAATTCAAATTTGACTCATCAAATAACAAACATTTAGTATTATTTAGAATAGTGTAACCTGTGTCTTACGTCAAGTGCTAATTTTTGTCGCTTAGAGATATCTAGAAAAATTTTAAAAAAAAATGTTTTTTTTTTTAATGTAAGCGTCCTCCCCAAATAAATATTCAATTTTTGTTTTACGTAATTAAATTAAAAAAATATCATTATTAATCTTTACTAATATATAAAGCTGACGAGTTTGTTTGTTGTGTTATCCTGTGGTTATTATAACCATTCTTACTAATATTATAAATGCGAAAGTAACTCTGTCTGTCAGTCCGGCATTAACGCCGAAACTATTCAAACAATTTTGTTAAAATTTAATACACAGATATTTTAAAACCTGAGAAAGGACATAATCTATTTTTTAATGCCAAAAAAGGGTTGTTAGAGGTTGAAAACGGGGGGTTAAAGTTTGTGTGGAAATTTGTTATTTTTGAAGCTGGAACAATAAAACTTTCTTCTTTGGATTTTTGGGAATTTGACTAAGAGTGTTGCGGCAAAGTAGCACTCACCACACAGCTGCATTAAATGCACGCTTTTATAAATAAATAAACAGCCCAAATAATTAAAAATTCTAGCGAACGAAATGGCAGGCACAGCTAGTAGTATAATAAAATCTTTCATTGTAATAGAATCGTTGATAGTCTTCATTTATTAAAGTTTTTTCAGTCTTAGCCATTTCGTTGTATTATTACTTTTGTATTTATACTAAATTGAGAAATAAATTATCATTGTGACTCTTCATTCGGTTTTTTTTTCGTCGAATAAAAAGTTAATGATTTCAACAATGGCTAATAATCAACGGATTGTGGCTTCGACCCGCAACAGCTCCAACATGTTTTAAATGTATTTATAATTCTTCCGAAAAATATTTGAGTTGTCTGGAAAAATAGATATTAAATAGATGATAGTAATATCAAAATTCCGTTTGCAAAACGAACTATCCGCAGATGAAACATACTTCATAACGGTTTGATTTCAGTCTGTGGATTACCGGAAATCCAAAACAAAAATAGATCGACTGTGGATCTTTTTTATCTATACTAATATATCAAGTTAAAGAGTTTGTATGTTTGCTCCGGAACTACTGGTTGCTACTACATGAGGACTTATCGAGGAATGCTATAGGCTGTGACTTGTGACGTGATATAACCGGGGCAATTCATTCATCTCTATGGGTTTCCGATGCGTACGATGCACAAACAATTCAAGATACCCAAAAACTATGTATGAAATAATGATTCCTCTTTAAACCTAAAGAACCTTTCTTTAGACCTAAGAATGTCCGCGATATTACATGTCTATCTTTTAAGATTAACTTGCAAGAACGACGAGACGCGACCGATGTCGTGAGTAACAAACGAGATTTGCAAAAACAAATTTGGGGTTCAAAACAACTATTCTGCGCGGACGAAGTGGCTGACACAGCTAGTATGTAAAGGATTTACCTTCTATCAAGTGAGCCCTATGCTTGTCTGTGCTCCTCTACAATAAAAAAAATATCTTCAGAGATCGCGCTCAATCAAACTGCATTTGTATTTTTATATAACAGATTACCCTAAGGTAGAGTCAAAACGTCAGCGGTTTGAAACATAACGCGGTCAATGTTGCATAGTGCGGGTCAAAGATAAGACGTGTTCGTAAAGGCAATAAAATGAATTATATTCCAAAGAAACAAGTGCTCTTTTACTCCGACGCAGCAAGCCAATCAGCAAGGGAAAGGATAAATCTTGGAAAGACCAAGGACATGGATAAGGTCGTTGAAATGTTAAGGACCTGGTTGGATAAACAGCCTCATATCGTCATGAAAAATTTTAGTGAGTGCATTTACGATTTTTTACACATACATTTTTATCACAATTGCATGAATAAATCATCTATAATAATACAATTTAACTATATGTTTGCATATACAAACGACGTATTTAACACGAATATTTGATAGGAACGAAGTGTTATCGTCGATTTTATTTTCAACCTATGAGTATAACTAAAACTACATTATTAATTTGTTAGGGAATAATGTTTTTATTGTAAAACGTTCTTGGTTTACTTTTAATTTTAAAATTTATTATAAAAATAGTCTTAATTTTTTAGTTTAGTTAGGTGACTTAAGTTTTTTCTTTTAAATTGATTTTTGTTGTGAATATAACTTCGATTGAGCATCTTTTTTAATTAAATGGAACAGTCGTAATTATACAAAAGAGGAAAATAATGTTGTATGCATTTTTATTTATGATTTTTGGACGCTATTATCCTCATAATTTCCATAACACGTAAAGTATATAAACAAATTACAGTATGATAAAAAATTAATGTTATTAGTACTTGTCTGGCTCGTTGGTAATGGTAGCGAGGCGTGTCTAATAATCAACGAGAAGTAGGCTTGATAGCCAGCGCGTCCAGCATAAACTTGTTGGACTTTGATTGGAAGGGATAACAAAATTCAGTCGGTGGATTTCCAAATTTCCAAAGGCATCTAGTTTAGATGTTAAAAAAAATGTTCTTATATGTTAAAAACTGTCTATATGTTGTGAAGTCAGGGTCACCTTAAAAATTATTCGAGATACGAGAGACGGAATACAAATGGAACCTTTTAATTTGTAAAATATATCTATACAAAAAAAAATTGGAGTGTCTGTTTGTAACATTAAAATAACCTCTTTTTACTATATGCATATGGATGTATACACGGTACACATACCAAAACAACATTAAAAAAATGTTTGTCTGTCTGTCTGTTTGTTCCGGCTAATCTCGGAAACGGCTAGACCGATTTTCACGGAACTTTCACGGACAGGTAGCTGATGTAATAGTTAAAGTGTTTTTTAAATAAAACCAATGTATGTTCATTAAAGCTAAAATGTTGGGTTCTTATTTACAGGTAGAAATTACTTAGAGATGTGTATACTGGGCGCAAAAGGATCCACAGAACGCGCGAAGACTTTACTTGATAGAATATGCACATTTAGGACTCTCATGCCTAAATATTTTGAGCCTGTAAACGTGAGTGAAGACTTCAAAGAGCTATTTGAAATTGTGTAAGTTTCAAATTCGAAATCTTTACTAATACTAATATATAAACCTGAAGAGTTTGTTTGTTTGAATGCGCTAATCTCAGCAACTACGGGTTCGAATTGAAAAATTATTTTGTGATAGTTAGATCATTTATTGAGGAAAGCTATAGGCTATAAAACATCGCGCCGTGACTAATAGGAGCGAAGATGCAGCGAAATGTGAACAAAACGGGGGAAAATTTTCATCTCTGTGGATTTCTTGTGTGTACGCTGCGAAAACGGTTCAAGATACCTAAAAAATGTGTATGAAAGAATGATTCCTCTCTAAATTATCTAAAAAAGCCCGCGACGCTATATTATGTCTATCTTTTAAGGTTAACTTGCAAGAACGACGGGAAGGGACGCGATCGACGTCGTGGCTAACAGCTTAAGTTTATAAAGATGACGGCAAAAACTTATTTGGTTACCCAATATAACGATTCTCGCGGACGAAGTCGCTGCCACAGCTAGTATATTATAAGACATTACCAATTTACGTAAAGCAGATGGCGAACTGGTTAAAACCTGTCAAAACATTTTTGTAATTCTCCGGAATTGGAACCTAAGACTTTACACTAAACTAGAAACAGAGTTAAGTCACATAATTATTTATTGTAAACACTAAGTAGGTTACGTTAACAAGGTTAGGTCTTAGTTAACAATTTTACATAAATTCAAGGATTCAAACTCAAGACTTGTTAAATTAATTACGAAGGTGTTGAAAACAAACATACCTACATAAAAATGTACAACCTTATTTAACCAATAGAAGTTTTATTATTTTGGGTCTTTTGCTCTACAGCAGTCGCGGCTTCGATTCCCAATAGTACATCATTTCTAAAGATCACTTTATAATTTATGTGAAACTTGTTTAAAAGTCTGGACAAACCGTCACAAAACTAGAAATCACATCCTCTTTTCGGTTTTGGCTTTTCTGAATGTCCAAAATGGGCCGAAAGCACATATTTTTAAATAACTGGTAATTGATAAATACCTGCGTTACTACATTACATAAAGTGAATTTCCTTTTTGTCTATCTTCCCTTGTCAATACAAATTCATTTTAATTTTTACATGAATAATATTGAAGTATCTTACAATTCTCATCCATATCTAATCTTTTTTTAAATAAAACACTTTAACGGTTTAAAACGCGATATATAAGTTAAACTTATTTGAAAATGATTTATAACTTCGGCCATTTCTTTGAGCCGTCGTCACGGGGAGACTTGATTGATAGTATATCGCGTTTTAAACTGTTAAAAGTGTTTTATTTAAATTTGTACTACTCGCGTAAACTATAGACTTAATATCTAATCTCTTGACCAAGTCACCTAATTGGTTAACTCATTTATTTAATAGAAATTGCAATTACAGCACTCCCGTTACCTTGCCGAAGTATTCAAAAGACCTGTATCGAGTAATTGTCATGAAATTTTGGGGAGATGTCAAAAATTCGTCACAAATATCACATCTACATAGAAATTCGCTTTTAGTAAGTATTATGTTCAAAGAGAAGAACATTGTAACTTTAACGCGAAATACAGTAACAAACGTCGGGTCATAGTTAAAATACATTTTAAATAGGTTCAACGAGTATATTTCGCGCTGTAAACCGTTAGTGTTTTAATTTAAAGTTTACTCGTGTATACTGAAGTCATATATGTTCATGGTAATAAAACACAAACAAATTAAAATATTGCGGTGTACCGCAGTTAATTTTTCTTGAGAGTTTGAAACATTTTTTTCACATGTGGCTTTAAATAAATAAAAATATATATTTAAGTTTGGTCATAATATTGAGATACAAGTAAATAAAATGACGTAATTCAAGTAAATTAGTTAAAGACGTATACATCTGACCCAGCTGTCAAACCTGTTACTTCGTTACACCAGGCATCCCCTTTTCCAAAATAAACCCCCCCATGGCCAAATTGCGTACCATTAAAGTCAACTGATAACGGTCCGCTAACTTATTTATTTTTGCTTTATTATTTATAATATATACCAAATAAATTACAAAAGAAAAAAAGTTACGTACTAACTTATAAATAAAATGCGGCCTTATCGCGAAGCAACGATTTCTTCCAGGCAACGAGGTGTAAGGAACAATAAAAAATAAAAATCAGGAAAAACACTTAAAACTGCTGCTACAGAGCGCTCTTTTTCACGTCAACGTCAATAGAAGAAGATAGAATGTATTATATGTATTTGCTTACGTCAACTCTTACTAATCCTATATCGACCCTTGAGGGCACTCACCTGGGGTCACTTTGGAAATGCAGTAAACCAACAAATTAGTTATTTATTGTACTATTATTATTTCGACAGATGATTGAACATATGATGCAAACGGATTCCGTTTCCGGATGCCATATATGCGTAGACCTTTCCGAGACAAACATTCTGGAAATAGTCACCAAACAGAACCCTTTCGAATTGAAAGATGTCGCTACTATAACTATGGTGAGTAAACGAACGGACATTCGAAATTCTCTATTATTTGTATCATATTATACTATTATATTAAGGAAAAATGTCTTAACTGGCGGTGACCAATTATTATTTACTAGCTGTGTCAGCGACTTCGTCCGCGAGAATCATTATTTTGGGTCATTCAATTTTTTTTTTGCAAACCCCTTCATCTTTATAAACTTAACTGTGACGCACGACGTCGGACGCGTCCCTCGCCGTCGTTCTTGCAAGTTAATCTTATAATATAGGCATAATTTTTTAGATCATTTAAAGAGGAATCACTCATTCATACATATTTTTTAGATATCTTGAACCGTTCTTGCAGCGTACATACACCTCGGAAACCCAGAGAGATAAATAATTTCCCCCGTTTTTTTTACTTTTCTCGCTCTTTCTTCGCTTCTATTAGTCACATCGCGATGCTTTAGAGCCTTCCTCGATAAATTATCTACCTAAAACAAAAATAATTGTTCAATTCGAACCAGTATTTCCTGAGATTAGCGTGAACAAACAAACTCTTCAGCTTTATATATAGTGCCTTCATGTGAAAAATATTAAAGTTTTCAAACAGGTTTTCAAGCCTAAATTAACGTATAATTTGAATAGAATGGATACACTACAATTACAATGTCCAAGAGGAATAACGCATGCATGATTTATAATTAAAACTTATTCCCACAAACATAGTCGACAGCGCATCGTTACGATGCCGACGACGGTAGTATTTTCACCTTCAATCAAGGAATGCCATACTTGTCTATTAAAAAAAAGCAAACTATATAGACAAGTAAATACATATAGTTGACTTTCATAAAGAAGCCATTCCAGCTACGTTGGGACTGATGTTCCAACACTAATATTCAGGGGCCCCATCAGCGGCCGAGCAAACAAGATTTGTTTAAAATTATCTCTATTATACACACAAATACCTTATAATTTTATAACTTAGAAGATAAATATACCACCCACCGCGTCCAGCGTATTTCTAAACAAATTTATATCTTTTCTAACATGTAGGAATCTATCATCAGCTCGGGTCACGAACCGCCGTCCACAGATGAAAAAGCCGTGAAGCTTAATCACGTTTCGGTCTCATGGATTTACGCATATCTAAAGCCAAGATAGGGCGACAGTGCATTTTTTAGAATTACATATGGCTGGGTTATCATCACCTTCCATCATGTGAAACTCACGCTCCTCTATCGTAAAATAAATATAATGTTCCTTTTTTTATTTTATAGGAAGCTTACGGAATGCAAGTTAAAGGGATACACCTGATATCGACGTCAAAGCTTATAAATTCTTTTATTTCTCTAATCAAACAAGTACTGAAGCCTAAAATGGTAAGCAGAATTCACGTTTACAAGTCTTGGACAGAATTGCACGATATACTTGGTAAAGATGTGCTGCCGGAGGAATTTGGTGGAAACGAAAAATCTATTAAGGATATTCACGGTTCGTATTACCATTGTATTAACATTTTTTCTCACAGACAGTGTGAAAAAATTAACAAATGCACAAAAATGTAATTGGGGTCCAAATTTAACTATTTCCCACAAATAAATATTATTTCGGCGGGCTAGTTGGTGTAATGGCAGCTAACTAATAACCAACGGTTCGTGGGTTCCCCACCAGGTGCATCATGTTTCTAATCAAGTTATAATTTTCCTAAAACATTTTGGACTTCGTCTGGAAATCTGGATATTAAGTGGATGGTAGTAATATCGGAATTCCGTCCTGGTTACGAACCACCGTCAACAACACCGTTGCTGTGATTTCAAAATCGATAATCTAAATAAGTTGACAACACATGTTGTCAAGGTCTTACATGGCTGGGGTATTCCACATCAAGTGAGTTTAAATAAAACAATTGAACGGTTTAAAACACGATATATATTAGTTAAACTTATTTTAACCACGGCCCGACGATTCGGGTGCTTGATCAACAGCCGTGGTCACGGGGAGACTAAAGTGGGAGGGTGTCTCTGACGTTAAAGTGAAAAATAATTTTCAATTAAGTTTAAGTAATAAACATCGTGTTTTAAATCGTTAAAATGGTATTATTTAAATGTGTACTCCTCGCGTAAACTAATGATAGTGTTTAATAACAGAGCTAATTAACACATGAACAAGATGCGTTGATGATCTATTTGAACGTTTGACTTTGTTATTGCATCAATTTGTAACCCAATTCGTAATCTTTAGCTCTGTGTATCCCAAGTATTAAAGTAGATGATTATTTGTTTTAGCTGATTGGCTGAATGAATTATCGTCCGAAGAATTTATAAACTACCTTCGTGAACGAACTAAGGCCTGTACAGACGAGTCGCGCAGACCAGAACTCAAATTTAACGAAGAATATGCTGGAACGCCTGGCTCATTTCGAGTTTTAAGTTTGGACTGAGCTAAATGAAGATTGCTATAAGAAATTGATAATTTTTGCTACTAAATTACGGCTCTAGTAACTTACAAACAACGTTGTAAGGCTAATAATAAAAAAGGCAAATGGTTCGTGACTTCAATCCACACTGGTTCAACATTATTCTAATTAATTTATACGTTTTCTAAGACATGATTGACGTCTGGAAATATGGATATTGAATTGATGGTAGCAATATCTAATTTCGTCCGGACCGAACCACCGTTCACAGATAAAGCGGACGAGTTTAACTGCGTTTCAGTTTTAGTCTGTAGATTTGCAAATATCGAAAGCCAAAATAGGTCGAAACGTGTGGCAGGCATATTTTTGCTTCTGTTCAAAATTTAATATACATACTTTGAGGTTAGTTTTAAGGGTCATATTTTTATATATTTTCGTTTTTCATAATCTGCGCTTGCCAAATTAATTATTTACTTTAAAACCCACATGTCATGTTGTCAGATTCTCAACACGTTAATATATCACTTAAATCTTCATTTTCTATTTTAATAATTTAAATCTGTTTTGGTGTAAATTTTAATTTGGGTACAGACCAAATGCTTACGATGTAGTGTAACTTGTTACACTACGAACATTATTGCAATAACACGTATTGTTAAGATAAAATCAACGAACATGCTCGTCGAACATTTATTCGATCAGATCTGTACGCTGTATGAACTCATCCGATAGCTGGGTTACTGAACTTAATAATTGGAGAGCTTGACTGCGAATATCGATTTCTGCGCTCGCAACGAGCATGTTGTGCCGAAATTGCGTCACAGCGAGCATATTCGTTTACACCGCGAGCATCTGGTCAGCACCCACCTTTACGTTACTGTCAGTTAGAGCTTTGAATACCGCAAATTTACGCTTTCGTGGCTACAACACAACATCTAATTAGCGCGTCTACAGTGGAAGGAATTCATATTTGCATTTGACGTGGATCTCAAAATGGCAAAGCGATACAAAGCTTTGATTGCGCTTACGCTGTAATCTCTAAGGTAAGAATTTAATCTAATAACCGCTTATGGATGGTTGATTGTTAGCTTTAGTTGCGATAAGTATAGAAATGTATTTCTGTCTAGCAGTTAGCAGTATAAAACGCGATATATATTATTTTAAATTATTCGAAAATTAATTTAACTACTAAAAAATGAATGAAATATCAAATTAAAAAAACTGTCACACCAGCGCCATCTCTTGCGTCGTAGTTAGTATTCGGCGAAATAATTAGTTAAAATAATGAAGTTAGTAAATTTAATATGTTAATTTAATACATTTTTGAAATAAGTTTAAGCGTTTTAAAACTTTATAGTTCTTTAAATGTGTCGCGCAAACTACAGCAAGTATTTTATCAGCAATGTTTCTAAGCAAGCCTTACAAATTGGAGGAAATAAACTTTCAAAGTGTGTCTGTAAATTAAATTCAGGAGTATCCGGTTCTATGTGGAAAATATTACATAAATATCTAGCAAAATGCGGAAACTGGTAAATCTGAGACCTGTTTACAAAAAGGTTGTGACTACAATTTCTAATTAATATTAAAATCCAATTTGTTCGCGTTTCGCTATAAAGTTTAATCGGGTTCGCTAAGCATATCCCTGCTTTCTGTTCTATTGATTTGTCAACAATACTATGACAAGCTAAGAAGTATGTAATATCTATACTAATATAAAAAAAACTCAAAAGTTTGTTTGTTTGAACTACTGGTTCCAATTGAGAATTCTTCTTCTTCTTTCTATGAAGCCTCGCACTGCGACTAATAAGAGCGAAGAAACAGCGGAAAATGTGAAAAAAAAAATAGGACAATAATTCATCATGGTGGTTTTCTGTTGCGTGCGCCACAAAAACGGTTCAAGAAGTCAAAACATACTGTCTATAGTTTACGCGAGTAGCCGTGGTCACGTGGACCAAGGCTGCTGCAAAGCATCCGAACCGTCGGGCCGAAGTTAAAAATCATTTTCAAATAAGTTTCGATTCTTTCAATTTATAATTTTTCTGAAACATGCTTAATCGCGATTCGGTTTCAATGTGTGGTTTTTAGAATATCCAAAGCCAAAATAGGTCGACCGCGCATCTTGTTTAGATGCTATAGGCCGGGGTATATCACCTACCATCACGTGAGCCCCATGACATGTGTGTCCTCCTTTATCATTAAAAAAAGCTATAGAACTTTGTCTCACTACTTGGCTTGGTTGTATTCAAATTTTTCAATCACTTCAATATACGTAATCTATGCCAATCAATTTCAATAAAACGTCTGAGACAACAAATCGTTCATTACTAAAATAGCGCGATGGGCTTGGAAAACAAATTGTAAAAGCCTACAATACAGATTGACAATGATTTATTATTCAATATTCAATCAAAATAATGGAGCCTGTACTGAGTTTTAGTTGAATTTTCAAATTTAACTTATCACATTTTCCTTGATCAAAACGTAAAATTAATCTCTTGTAGAGCGTTACTTTATATGGTGTCAGAAATAGTTATTTTGTATTTTGTCTCTGTCTACAAAATGTCATTAAAACTGTGAAGCTGATGGAGAGAATGGCAATACTAGGCAGGCATGTGTGATGCTGTGATCAGCATCTCTTTTACAATTTACACAGATTTTGGAATAGAATCTGTATCGTGCAACATTATATGGTTTAAGAAATAACGTGCAATTCAAGAGGTTTCTAAAACTTATATCTTCTGTTATACATAATCCATCTTCAATCCTAAGGTGGCAAACTCGACAGGTACTTGCATATATACTCCATGGAAACCAGCCAGATGACAAAAGCGAATCCGACCAGAATAAAACTGCGAATGTCCATCTCAAACGTATGCACGCTGAAACCCATCACGTCTTTTCGTCCATGATGCTGCGGACCACTGTAAATAATAAGCCCAGAACCACCAGACTGCCCACTATAAGTAATATCTGGCCCAGAGACACGTATAAGTTGTTCATCTTCACGTACAGCAGTAGTATTTGCACATCCAGTTCATCACAACCAGGAGGGTCACGAAGGCCAGCGCGATCACTATAATCTGGACGAGGTCGATATCGTAGCAGATTGAGGATTTAGCCATGTCTATCGGCCGTTCACGATATGACAAACCACCAGGAAGAGTAGTACGAGGATTACTATGGATCCGATGATCATCAAGAGCTGATTCAAGTTGAAACTCAGCCCACAGCCCGCGGACTGTACCTTTGACATATTTTCACGATAGAGGCATTGTATGGTCTTGTGCGGTTTCTTCAATTGCAGTATTTACATAATTTTTGTTTTGTTTTGTATTTAGTAACTGTATTAAATCATTTTGTTAATTTGACTCCGGCGCTGTCATGTCAGCTCGAAAAATGTTTCGATCAAGAAGTTCTCATATGTTCGTGTGGAGTAGAATTTTGATGTCACACAAGGACCACAGGTAAGGTATATGATTGTATTTGAGAATTTTACGATATTTTTAGATCAATTTTGAAAGGTTAGTTGGACTAGGAATGCTAGGGATGCACGGAAAGTAGCGGCGCGTGGGTTCGATTACCATCGGGTAGACCCGGTGTGAGCCTGTTTGTAAATTATTTGATAATATATTTTGAACCAGATTGCATCTTTATTAAGTGGCTACGGCATTTTACTGTCTATACTTGACACCTCGTGCGTTTCCTTTTTCATAAAAACTAAAGAATACACTGTAAAAGAAGAATACCAAAAATATTTGTCTTTCTAAAAAACATGTTTTATAGTTTCATTTAGTATTCCTGAGCAGAAATCCTTAAGGAGCTTCAACGAAACGACAATCACCTCAACTCATAAAACCTAGGAGATAAGAAATAAAGACGAGGTGTAAAATCACGTTTAAATGAATCGTAAATCACAATACAAAAGTTGTAAGAGTTTTGAAAACAGCAAAACTTATGACGATAAAACTTCATCACGGAGATAAGAAAAGGTGAAAGGTCCTGCATTAAACAGATCGTAACTGCGAGGTACGGTTTGAAATTATGTTAATGGAGAATTTTTAATGTAGGAATAATACGCGCGACGTTATTTATGCTGATATTTTGCGGTAAATTAGTTTTTAATTTCAACCCATCTTTGAATTAGATACATCTGAAAAAAAAACTAGCGTTTACCCTCCATTTCGCTTAGTTATCTTTACTAAAATTATGCAGCTGGAGAACCGACGCCATGGGTGACTGCTATAATATATAAAAATGAGGAGAATTACAAAAACAAATTTTGATGCCCGAAATAACTATTCTACGCGGACGAACTCGCGGCTAGCTTAAAATAATCAGAAAGTATTAAAATATGCAAGCGATAAAGGAAGTTTTCGTATAAGAATACGATTATTAAACGTAAATGCAAAAATATTAACATGCCCCTTAGCACGGATTGTAAAGCATTTAATCGAATCACGTCCTTTTAACGATACATATAATATATGGAACCGTTAAACGTGATTCATTAAATGTCCATCGATGACAAAATCTACAGACTACAACTAAAAAACAAATATACAAAATTTTGCAGAAACTTTTCGCCCCAAAGTACTTAGTCTTATGTTATCTTTTGTTTCCTCCTAACTTTTTCAAGTAGTATTTTAGTAGGATCAAAACGACTCAATTTATTTTTGTGTATTAGTTATATATGTGTTTAACCTCCACATAAGCCACCCGAGATAAAAATAACGACGTTATTTCAATATTTTTTTTATTGTAATAAAAATTATAACCAGAAATAAAAAATAAAATAAACAATAACAGTCGGTTTATTAAAACTTAACACGTAGTCTCCTTTGAGATCGTTACATAGAATTAATTCTTATTTTAATATACAGTATACAGATTCCCATATGTATGTTTATAAATACATACTAAGTTTATAACTTATAGAATACATCATTACAGTACTTAAAATTAATCGCGTTTCGGTTACAGTGGATTTTCTAATGTTCATACTTCAAACCCAAAATAGGTCGGCGACGCATTTTGTTTAGGCTTTATATGACTTCACCTTGCATCAAGTAAACTTGCTTGTCTGCTCTCCTGTGTCATAACTAAAATAACTCAATTACAAAAAGAATAGGTAAATTTCACTATTTTACAATATTTCTTATTATTGTAATCTAATAAATAAGATGTGGTATTGTATTATATTTTAATAGTTTTTCTCTTCATACCATAGCCTCTTCTTGTATATCAAGAGTAATCTTTTAACATGTATTTTAAAAATAAATGAAAACAAACAAATAAATAACGAAGCGTCGCAGGTTCAAGTCCCGTGCAGGTAGTGGAAAATTGCAATCTAGTCTAGTTTATTTAATACGTACATTTAATATATAACCAATCAATGATTACATGGCTAAAAACTACAATAGCCTTCTGTTATTATTATTTTCCCGAAACCGTAGAATTTTCCGATCTCGAATTGAGTTTCTCATTTTCCATTTAAACGCGTTCAAGCGAAACTTTTCTCCCTCCTGAAATAATAATGGTAACAATAATATATAAAAACGTATCTCATTATTATAATTAACGTACATAGTAAAACAGATTCCAAGAAATACTCGCTCTGCGGTAAAGCAAAATTTTAAGTCTGAAGCATAACTAACCGAGAATAAAATCTTACGCCTTATTAATTCATTAGTGAAATTTAATTCCCATGGTTTTGTGTATTTGATATTGTCACGCTTTTAGGGTTTGTGACTTGCATACATATTCCCAAAAGTACTTCCCCCTTTCTTTATTTTAAGATATAAGGCTTTAAAAACTGAAGTATTAAATCGAATCCGAGTACCACCCAACAGTGATTACTAATAACATTTACTTGCTGTCTGCAGTTTACGCGAATAGTAAACATTTAAATAAAACACTTTTAGGGTTCAAAACGTGATTGACTCCCCGTGACCACGGCTGCTGCAAAGCATAAACGTCGGGCCGTAGTTAAAACAATTTTCAAAGTTTAACTAATATATATCGCTTTTAAACCGTAAGAGTGTTTTATTTAAAACAGTTACTTGCGTTTTTCGTATTTTTACCTTTTTGGATAAATAAATATCTATTTATCATCTCAAAGTCAACGAATTCCTGCCCATTTACCTGATCTAGCGGCGATGCCATGCTATTCCTTTATTTTGTCTCTACTCTGCCCTATCACATTGCTAAGCAACGAGTATAACCACTGAGCAACGGAGGAGGTCAATAATTCTTTTGTATATGACAATACATTAGAAACATATCATCTATTAGAGAGTTAACAGATTGTACCGTAATTAATTACATCAACAAGACAATTAGCCATTGCTAATTAATTGAACAATATTGATGTTCCATATTAATATACAATAGAGACATTTCGTTATTGGTGAAGGAAAATATTGGATTAGGGATTTCTCAGCTCTAACACGGTTAGACAAATTTCAATAGTATTTAAATAAAACACTTTAACGGTTTAAAACGCGATATATTAGTTAAACTTATTTGAAAATGATTTTTAACTTCGGCCCGATGTTTCGGATGCTTTGCAGCAGCCGTGGTCGTGTCTCCCCGTGACCATTGCTGCTGCAAAGCAAGTGTTTTATTTAAATGTGTACTACTCGCGTAAACTATAGACAGTATTACAATAGTATTTAAAATAAATTTGTCATCATTGACGGGCTTATTGGTCTAATGTTAGTAATCGTTTCCCACCGGGTCCAACGTGTTTATAATTTTCCTGAACCATGTTGGAATTCATCTGGAAGTCTGGATATTAAAAGGGTGGAATATAGAAATGCGGTCCGGGTCACGTACCACCGTCCCACAGATGAAAAATCCTCAAGCTCAAGCGTTTCGGTTTCAGTCTTTGGATTTCCGAATATCCAAAGCCAAAATGGGTCGACAGCACATCCTGTTTAGATGGGCTGGGTATATTACCATCAAGTGAACCTATTGTCTGTCCTTGGTACCATTAAAAAGAAGCCAGTCAAAGCCAAAATGTGTAGTGCTCTTACTTGGTGCGAGATAATAATAAAGTTCGTATAGATATAGATTCGGTAGTCCATCGAACACTGAAGAACGTCTAGAACTCACCAGCATAGCGTCCTCTGCCTCCCACTTAATATAGCTTAAGCATAAATCCGTTTGATCCCTGGTGCATTGTGTACAAATTTTACAAATTAGTTAAAACACAAAAGCCTACCACCACCAGGAATGTAATAATACAAAGTGTTGTGTCATCAATTTATTTCCAATAAATAAATAATATACACAATCCCAACCATAACTAAATAATGGCAATTGGACCGATGTAGACTAGTTAGCATCGTATTTACAGAATAGGAGTACGTGCTTACAAATAAAATTTGGGACCTTCAAAATTATTAGACGATCTTTTAATTGCTAATTAAGGATGTATAAACGAATACAATAGCATTAATTCAGAGGTGTAAATAAATTTCTACGTATAACCGACGAAAAATGTTATTGCTAAATTTTTAACAACGGCGTTTGTTTGTTGCAAGATAATACTATACTCGTTCTTACAATTTATTTCGATTATCTTTTGAAAAAAGAAATGCTAGTGACGTCTTAAGATATCAAAGAGCAAAAGCTGATACAGTTAAAAAAGAAACAGTAGAGAAATAGAAAGTTTGAATTGGAAAAACCTTATTTCCTCTACAAAGAGGGAATTTGGTGGACTGTTCACCATGCTAGTGACGTCATGATCAGACAAAGAATTAAAAACGATACATCGGTCCATTAACGAAAAAATTAAATGCAACATTGTTCCATCGCCTAACAAAAATTAGTATATAAGTGCTAAAGGCAGTAATTTAGCGTCCGCTAAATAACTTAAACGTTTTCCCAACAACCCGGCTAGAAATCTTTGGTCGATCTAGATCGAATTTTTATCACAAGCGATACCTTATCAGAACGCCTAACCTAGGACTTGAAGCAAATTTAAAGCCAGTATTTACACAAAATACAATTTCAACATTTTTAATAACCTCTTATGGGATTCGTATAAAGATCGTGAAATATCTAGTTCTGTACGCTGAAGAATTTAGTCTGTTGTAAGTCATCTCTTCTTTGTCAAGTAATTTGATTTGTTTACACTTGGCTTGTTTAGCAGAAACTTAGTAGCATATTGCATTATTAGTATCGACAGATAAAAACAGAAATTATGGACATATTACATTGTTATCTAAGACCACAAGAACAAGATGATGTTTTACATACAATAATCCCATAAGAAGTTAATACAGGTAGGTCTTAACAATTTCACGGGTTCTGAGGAAATGCGAAGCGGAATTACCCTTTGTACAAACCGTTATTAGCTACGTAAGGGTTAGTCGTAGGTTTTGCGTAGATAAGGGAATTGGATAATGCGATAGATGCAAGGTGACAAAATTACTTGACTTTGTACTTTTTCAACGCCTTCCTGCGGGTAGTCTCCATAGACCTTGTCACCAGCCAGACGGCGAAGCGACCGAACGTGCCGTGGATACTATTGATGACATTTACGAAGACAGCATGAGGGAAGTAGCCGACCGTCTTTGACGTTGTTCCAACGAGACCGATGGCCGATTTGACGAAGGTCTTAGCGGTGGGTGCCATTAACGTTGCCCGGCGGATACCCGACATGTTAGAGCATACGAAGCCAGGCAGAACACACTGCACAATAATTCCCTTCTTGCTGTACTCCATATCCAAACCTTCGGAAAATTTGTCAACGTATGCCTGAAAAAAGAAAATACTCGTAGAAACTGTCATCGTTATCGTTTTAATTTATTATCATTCCACAGCTGGATGGAAGTCCACTCACACGAGAGGGTGTACTAAGTTAGACCGACTACCACGACTAAGACTTGACCGTTCTGTCAAAGATCCAATTGTAAATCATGTCTATCTTATAGTATAGCAAAGATTTTAGGGTTTAATAAATTTCTTTTTAACGTATAAAACTACCGATACTGTAAGGTATTTAAGTTTTACAAACCAAAGCTTTATAAGAAAATTGCTTTAAATAGGATTTACGTCCAAGTTCTTGAACTCACCTTGGAAGCAGCATATACGGTCAGCAATGGACTAGGAATGATGGAGGAGCCTGAACCGATATTGATGACCACGCCCTTGCCACGTTTCACCATATCTGGTAGAACGATGCCTGTCATTCGTGTCACGGATACCATGTTGGCTTTGATCATAGATGATATGGCGTTTTCCCTGTTAAGGAAGGTCATTAATCAATAATGAAAACCTACTGAACAGTTACGAAAAGCGCTGTAATATGTTACTATTAACAATATAATAAATGTGTCTGCCTTTTAAAACAGATGAAAAAGTGAAGTTCTATCGCGTTTCGGTTTTACTCTGTGGATTTCCGAATATCCAAAAACAAAATAGGTCGAGAGGCATATTGAAAATTAAAATAAAATATACTTTATTCTCTATAAAATTAGAACTTTTTTTTAGATTCGTCAAAAAAAAGAGATGTTTGTCTGTCCGTTTCGATCATAGGCTAAAGGGTTGGTAGGAATATCAAATTTCGTCCACAGATGAAACCGCTGTAAAGTTTAAGCGCGTTTCGGTTTCAGTCTATGGATTTCCGAATATCTAAAGCCACAACAGGTTGACAAGGCATCTTGTTTGGATGATGTAGGCTGGGGTCTTTACTTACCATAAAGTGAACCGTGCTTGTCTATCCTCCTCTATCAGATTTTTTCAATTTAGATTTCAATACTGCCCTGGTTAATTCTATATTCATTATAAATGGTTGGTAAATTATTTCACATGGCAAATACATATGGTTGGTTTGCTACATGGCGTATGGTCCTAAACGCATTAGAATGCTAGATTTCGGTCCTAGCCAGAACATAAGTTACTTGCCATAAAGTTGAGCTGCTCCATATGTCAAACGGCAGGAGGATCATTAGGCAACTTCATTAATTTAACGTCGCTTACAGCGATGTTAATCAGGTAACAAATGGGCTACGGATTGTGGAATCCTCACTCCAATGACACGCGGTATCAAACAATTACGGAATAATAATTAATTAGATCATACATTATTAATCGTTTTGCGATCCATTCCTAAAGTAATCGAAATGAAACAAATTTCGAGTCTAAAAACAATTCGTTTTATTCTTGGTCCCTCTGTTATAACGTTGACGAGAGTTTTGTTTTTAAAAGTGACAGTACTGAAACCTTGTTATTCTCAAGTTAGTCTCCGAAGCGGTGCTTTTCAGCAGCAGTGGTCACGGGATGAAAGCGGCCACTTTTAACGGTGTTAAACGCGAATTATATTATTTAAATTATGTTTAGAACGACCTGGCGTTTCACAATGTTTCTAGACACGGTTTTTTGTGATAGTAGAGGTAAAATACTATTCCATTTGATTTTGGCTACTGTAAATTATGCTTATAAGTGTTTTATTTATATCGTATTTAATTGTGACACCATTCTCTCTCTAACTATGCGTTAGTATAGAATAACGGTTGAATACAAAACAGATAATCGCAAGCTTTTGAATTCTATTGTAAGAAGTGCCTGAACACTCGAGACTGAATTGCCTTATAAAAATAGAATAGTAATAACATGCAGTCCCCGCGTATGCTAATAAAATTGATGTCTCCAGAGGAGAAAAGAATCCACTAAGCTCCAGCAATAATCCCAGCACGGAGAGGCGACGATTGCTCTATATAATATTTCAATTCGAGCACTTATTTCATACTGCAATAGTAGAGCACCTGCACCACTTGAAAATTGTTTTCGAGAGTCGGTGTGGTTTTATACTTTCAATTTTCACGATATTTTCCAACTTATAGATTTTGAAACGCCAGTGAAACGTTTCCACTGTGAATGTACGAATCAAATTGTTGATTGTTCCAAGTATTGTGGGCGAATGTTAGAGCTATATAAATGTTTTGTAACAAACTTGATGAACGAGTGTGTGAAAGTAAGTGGGGCATGGGGCAGGCACACTTCTTTATGCAAATATTTGAAACAAACGAAGGTGTATTTTTATTGATTATTTATTAATAAAACCTATTAATATTGTTACCCAATCTTTCTTATAGTTTAGTTTTCGTAGATAAGTTTTGAAATTGTGATATTTTGAATTTTAAAGATAAATTTAAAACAAATTTAACATTGTAAATTCACGTAAACTTTTTCCTCTTTCATCTTGGGTTGCCTGGTTGCCTGGAAGAGATCGCTCGTTAGCGATAAGACCGCCCATTGCACTCCATATTTTTAGTATATAAGTCTCGTTTATATTTTTGTTCATTCTTTTTTGTGCAATAAAGTGTAAATAAATAAATACTTTAAAGGAGAGTTGACGCAGAAGTCATAATTTTTTAAGTGATTTCTTAATTTTTTTGCTCTATGCATACACTTCCAACAAACTCTGAAAATAGTGAAGTTATATAACAAGAAAGGAGAATTAAAAGGTTATTTGTTGGTATTAAACCCTTTACTTGTCTATCTTTGTCAATTAAAAAAAAAACAATCTACCGACAATACTTTACGAAACTTACAATTTTGATTACGCTATTTGCATTTTATTGTATTGTTTGTTTAGGTATATAAAGTAACGACGTTGAAGTTGTACTTAGCTAATTTAGTCCACAATATTTTTTCCTTATTCGCGTCATATTTTGTTAACTACAGAAGATTCGCTGTAGAAAATTGTTTGGCTTAAGATAATCGGAAATCCAAATTGAATCTGAAATCGACCCTGATGCAATTTCGATATTCCACCAATTTATATCCAGATTTTCAGACGAGGTCCAAGATGTTTCCGAAAAATGATATATACTGAAACTTACCAGTCCGGTATATCAGTGAAGTATTCCGGGTAACTGTAGGAGATTCCCACATTGTTGACTAGGGTTCCTATTTCGTGATCGGCCACTTCTTTGGCGATCCTCTCGTAAATTCCTTCCTCGCTGAAGTCAGCTTGAACTATTTTGGTATTCACTTTGTAGTCGTTTTCTGTAAACGAGTACTTGGGTGAGTGGCTTCATTTAGTCTGTATCTAATGAATCATTAATTTATTCCCACAGCTGGGGCTGGGTACTGGCTTAAATAGTTTGATAACTGATGAATGTATTCAAAGTAGTTGATGTTTATGAATTTGTACAACGATTATATCCAGTGACGCTTAAAACCAGATTTCAAAGCTCTTAAAATAATAGTACTTCATAATGATCATAAAATGCTGATAATAACGTAGTCATAGAAAAAGTAAGATCTCATTTGTCCCGGTGGGGCAAGTGGTGAATCCCGTCTCCGTTACACTGATCGCTTCTTTCACAGGCAAGTAATTGATAAGACTTCTGTGCCCTGTCCGACCGAAACAATTTATTTTTTGCCGAGATTCGAACCCAGGACATCACACTCAAAGCATTGAGAGGCAACACGTTTTACCCGGGGCGGTGGTTTACAAAATTATGAGTCACATTAAAATTAACAAAAGTTAGATTTTACATTACCGCCTCTGTACCATATAATTTAAAATATATTGCCTAGCATTGCGAAGCGCGAAAGGTTCTGGCTTCTAATCCCAGGAACAACAATTCGGCGGGCACAAAGAAGTCCGAGCAACAGTTGCCCGTTTGCGTGCAGGGCAACTGTAACAGAAATTAAACAGGGTAAATGGCATTCAGACTGGAAATTATGCACATATATTTTATTTTTAATTGAAATATAAATGCGGACATGAATCGACAAGTTTTTGTGCTGCAACTCTAACGAAATCTGATCAGTATATAGCACCGGTGTTAAACAATGTAAGTTTTTTAATTTTTAATGCAAGTGTATTTTGCGTCTATATAAATACACTGTTAAACATATACGTATATAGACGCATAAATAAAAAAAAAATCAAGTTCAAGAAAAACGAGTTCAAATACGCAAATGATAATAATTATGGTATTGATTAATTCCTTAGAAAACGTGTGTTAAGAGCAAGGTTATTTTATTGAGTAAACCAGATTTTCTTGTATTTACCATTTATAGCCTAGAATCTAGATCAATTGCAAAGTTTAAATCAAGTTCCAATACTCATTAGTAATGTAACCTACTAAGTTTACACTACTTGTTTCTTCTTCTACACTTGGTTAACACTTCGTAAAGATTATTATTTTTCTAAAAAATATTGAAAACTGCAAATTCGAGGATGAAGTAAAAAAATTACGATTTTCCTAGCATTGCGTTTAACACGAGAGGTCCTCCGTTCGAATTCCGGAAAAATTAATAGTTCCAGTGAGAAAGGCACAGACGTCAGATTAAAAACTTGTCCATCCATCATGTCCATCGATGACAACGGACACGGAAATGTTCTAAAAGAATTTTCTTTTAAAAAGGGAAATCCCATTTGTCTACATGAGGCATGGGGCGAATACATTTCTTTGTCCGTTACACTACTGATCGCTTCTTTTACAGGAAAGTAGTTGATCAGACTTCTGTGCCCTGCCAAATGAACGATAGTTTCCCTAAGATTCGAACCCAGGAGCTCTCGCGTTATCGCAATACTAGGCGGCACGTTTAACTATCAGGCTACAAAGGTATATAAATCTATAGAACGCGTTTTTAAAATTACGTGGAAATGTAGTCACAATTAAAATATATGCAGTAACCTACATATAACACTCGTACGCAGAAAAGCATAAAATAACACATAATAACATGTAATTACTCACCGATCTCAGATGCTGTGGCTTTTAACTTATCGATAGAACGACTGACTAGAATAATATCACAGCCGCGGGCAGCCAACTGCGAATAATGATAAAATATTTGAGGAAATTGAAAAATGGTGAAATGCATTAGCGCGGTCTTGGTGGAGACAAGGTGATCAATAAAAGGGGATTGGTTTTCTGTCACTTATGAGTCAGGCTGCAAGAATGCATACTCATTTTAGACAATGTGAAGTATGTTATACATTATAACGATAGAGAACTAACATGGATAGGTAGTTTTTGAAACCTAAAACCTTTAGTCGCGACTGGGAGTACCAAATAAATAAAGCTGAAGAGTTTCTCAAAATATAGACATATATACTGTTGCAGACATTTTTTTGATAATTTAAAGAAAGATCTTCCTTTCATACATAGTTTTTGGTTTCCTAAACTGCAACAGCGCACGCGACTTACTGTACGACTGCGTGCGCTGCTACGCTACTATTAGCGCCATCTTTATGAACAACATTCCCCGTTTCTCCACATTTCCCTCGATTCCCTCCTATTGGTCGAGATATGATATTCTAAGTATAAAGTTTTTCGCGATAAATTCTTTGACCAACACAATTGTTTTTTTAATTAGCGTTCCAGAGATTAGCGCGTTAAAAAAGAAACAAACTCTTCAACTTTATAATATTAGTATAGATGATACTCATATAATTAAAGGTGTTTTTTTCACATTATTCGTTTACTAAGCTTGTCTTGTGTATTTATATTAGTTAAACATTTACCTCTCTTGCGTATTCCTTTCCGATGCCATCTGTACTCCCAGTTACCACTGGAACAAAATAAAAACAATTAAAGACGATTATTCTATTACTATTTATTAAAATATAGAGTTAGTTTTATTATTTTAAATTCACAATATTTATTAAACGTTTCGCAACCTCACCCAGAGGGCGCAGACTGAAAAACAGCGCTGTGCATCCTTCTTCGTGCATTCAGCTGAGCCTCAATCCCACAGTGTTACGAAATCTTAGTTTACGAATCTAGTGTTGTCTTCCGTCATTTTGAAATTTGGAGCAATAAAACATACATTCTTACAAATCCTAAACCATTTAAATAAAACACTTTAACGGTTTAAAACGCGATATATTATTTAAAACTTATTTAAAAATGATTTTTAACTTCGGCCCGACGTTTTAAATAAGTTTAACTAATATATCGCGTTTTAAACCGTTAAAGTGTTTCATTTAAATGTGTACTACTCGCATAAACTACAGAGAGTATTTAAATCCTAAACCAGATTACTTTTTCATAAGCTCGTTAGCAAATGTGTTTTTTTTCTGAAACATGATATCTTTGTTATATATTTTATTTTATATTTACATGTATTTTGTCTGAAAGCTAATGCGGGTGGTTGAAATATCGCAGGTCCTTCCGCGTCTCAAACCAACGTCCGCATACGAAAAGGCCTTAAAGTGTAAATCCGCGTTTCGGTTTCAGCTAAATGTTAAAATAGGTCTATTACACATCTTCTTTAGATTATATATGGGGTATTTCATCCTTCATCAAGCAAACATCGAGTTAATGATAATGAAGGGCTGGTCTGCTTTTTTTATTAAAAAAAAATTTTAATTTCAAAAATAACTAAGTTACCAATTCATAATGACTCGAATATACCTTTCAGCAAAGTGAACTCGAAGTTGAACATGTTAACGATCAAAAGAAAGTTTAAGTACATGCTTGATTCTACTTATTAATAATGTAACGAGAAATATTCCGGCGTCTCAAAGCGCCAAACTTACCATTTACGCAGAGAATTAACCTCTGAATTTTATTGATTTAAAACTTGAATGTGTGAAGCTAAACGTCTAACCACCTTGTCGCAGTTGCACTTAGCTAATTTTGTCCAATATATTTTCCTTATTCCTATTTCTTCGTTTATTTACATTTTACCATTTACGCAATTACCATTAACCTACCGACGTTTCGGATGCTTTGCAGCAGCCGTGGTCACGGCGTTTTAAACCGTTAGTGTTTTATTTAAATGTGTACTACTCGCGTAAACTATAGACCGTTGTTAACTAATAGATTTCGAGTTTTAAACCGTTGAACATGTTATTTAAACAGTATTAATTTCTTTGACTGGCTTTTAAGTGAAAAACGGGAAATTGTTAAATTAAATCTTTTTAATAATATTGTGCTAATATATAAAAGCTGAAGAGTTTGTTTGTTTGAACGCGCTAATCTCAGGAAGTACGGGTTCATTTTTTTTGTGTTAGAGCCCATCGCTCTATGATATATGATCTATGACTAATACAAACGAAAATACAGCGAGATATGTGAAAAAAATTAGAAAAATTATTCATCATTATTGGTTTGTATTGCATACATACAAAAAATGTATGAAAGAATGATTCCTCTTTAAATGATGTAAAAAAAGTCCGCGACGTATTTTCTTTAAGATTATCTTGCATGAACGTCGCGGGTAACAGCTTAAGTCATAAATAAATTGTGTAAGGCTTTCACGGCCATCGTTCAGCATATCATTGTCTTTCGGGCTAATTCTTCGAGCAATCGAGGGGTTAACATCTCCCGATGATGCCGTCCACACGTGATGGCGAAACGTCGCGAACCTCTTCTCGCTCACGTCGGCCGAACAGCCCGAGAGACAATGATAAGCTAAAGTCATGCTAAGTTTATAAAGAAGGGGTTTGCAAAAACGAATTTGGATGCCCAAAATAACGATTCTCGCGGACGAAGTCGCCGACACAGCTAGTTTATAATATTTATCGTAATTCGACATTTCAATGACACTTAAGCAAACGATACACATATGCCAATGAACATTTGTTATCGTTCGATATAATTGAACGGTTAGTCAGCAATATAGGTTCCATTGGGTAATTGCATATGAAGTCAGCAAATAATATTGCGTGCAACAATGCTTCATTATACCAAGTACATAATAGCACTTCATAACTCATTTGATGTATTTTCTTCTTCTTCCTTCTATTCTTCGTCTTGCTCTTCCAACACTGAGACAACTGCTTTTGCCGAAAGCGAAAACTATATTTCCATCATGGTTAGGACTGATGCTTAATTACCATGCTAGATTAATTATAAGCGCGAAAGGTCATAGGATCAAGTCTAGGAAAAACAGAATGTGTCGGCTAAGGATTATAGGATATGCCATTAATTTTTTTTTATAAATTTCATTTATAACGTGATGTGATTTATGAATAAAAAGACTTCCTTGCTTTTTAAAAAACAATTATTTAAATTTTGTAATCATTCTAAATTAATTATCTTTATATGTAATCCTATTAGGTACATTTCGTTCGTTCTACGGCCTTGATTTGAGAACTAAGGTAGTATGTTTGTTTTAAATATAAATGTTGTTTTTTAGGCTTAGTGTTAGTTTTATTTTATAGGTACACTTAATACTTTTGTTTTATTTATTTTTTGTATAGTATTTTATTTTTTATTTATACTTGTATTTCCTCTCTTATTAACTTCCTCATTATTTTTTGCTGTCACTGTAATAGTCATCCATGGGCCATCACTAAAAATCGACGTTGCAGTGAATCCGTTTTTGCAGCAAAAGCTGAAGGATGCCCTTCCACAGCAAAGTTAGTATATGTTATATTTATGAATAAATGATTTTTGAGTATGACTTTGCCATTAAGAGTTGAAATCTACTCGTATAAACGTCAGCTACAAAATTGACAACGAACTAACACTAAACTTGACATTAAGAGTCGGTTCCTCTTGAACTTGTTTCCGATAGTCCACAGCGAAAGCCATGATTGCGGTTTCATTGCCGTATCATCGACAAGCCAATTTGAACTCTATTGCCCGGTGGAGTAATTAGGAACTTTTCAATTCGGTGTTTTAGAAAATCCTGCATAGCGCACTTAATTAATATAAAATGGCTTTTTAAAAAGAAGGGCATTAACTTAAGAATTGCTTAAATTTATAATTTATTTATAATTGGCTACCACCACAATCAGTGCCGACTTTACGTACGTCCGCCGACTTCAAAATTACATTATAAAAATATTTGTTAAATTATTTCGATTTAACTACCTACCTAAACCAAAATATGTGCGATTACATTGTGATGGAAGTCAGTTATTTTTTGTTTAAAATTATTTATATTCTTATTCTGCAAGATTGCGTATGTGTAGAAGTGTAGAATACATTATTTGAATTTGAGTTTCGAATTCGAAAATACTTATAAAAACTCTTAAGTTTTCCTTGGTGGGTAAAATATCTTTTTTATGATTTACACTCTACTTAAATTAATTTTTAATTACCTAATACTTTTTCCTTAGCATTTTTTATGAACAAAAAAGTATAAGCTACATATATGCAGCCCTTCTTCCGCAGAGAAAGTTGATATATAAAATACTTTCACGTATTCTCAGACGTTCGTACTCAACGCAGAGTAAGTACATAACATTGCTCTTAACGTATCGTTTAATTTACGAGATGAAACGTAAATATTTCTATGTACACTGTTCGTGTATGATATTTGCCGACATTACTTCGCTTTTAATTATGCATCCTTTTATTATTTGTACATGTTTAATTTGTATAAATTGTTTCTTTTAATGACTCAGATAGACAAACAAAGGCTTCATTTGGTGAAAGTTGTAATACATCATTCATTGTAATTGTATTATTAAATATCAAAATATATATGAATAGGTCGGTGGTTAAGGGCAACACTTCCTCTTCTTCATCTTTAAATATTATATATCGTCCCTTACCTTCTCCCACCGTTAATTAAATCTCACTATTAAATTTAATCTCACTGTGTTGTCAGTTTAAAAAATGTACAACCACAGATAAAATACTGTTATTGCACGTGACGGCACTATATAGATTAAAAATCGAAAATAACTTAAAAAAAAAACAGTAAGTAGAAAAATTTCGACGAAGAGGTGTGGGACTCTGTAGCTCAATTGTTTACAGCGCGGAACGCTGACGATGCCGGTTCAAGTCCTGCCCGAGTCTAATTTTTTTCAATTTATTTTCGATTTTTAATCCATGTCTAAGAGTACTCAAATAATCGTTTGCGCCTAAACGTATATAGACCTCTTCACAGAAGTATAAAAGAAAATAAAAACAAAGTTCTGTAAAAACGCAAATCCTAAGAAAAACTTCGGGTCGCCCTTTTTATACAACTATATGATTTTATATCTTACCAGAACACTTCAGTTATTACATAAACTATAATATATTATACAGTCATTTAATTTTATACGACCTCGAAAAACTAGTCTTAGTGTGAAAACAAAAAAAAACATGTTTACAAACACGTTTAAAAAACGGAAGACACCGAAGAAAGTGTACAGGAGCGTCTAATTTATAAAAAGTTAATTTTGTAAAGCTCTAAAAATGTAATAAGTAATTAAATGCTCTAAATTCCTTCAGCGGGGCGTGTTGTACGGGGCTCCGTAATTTAGTGGAATTTTAATAGGGCTCTCCAGAAACGAAATTGTATTAGATAAATTACCATTAATAAAGTTTAAAACTGTCTACGTTATTGTTTAGAGGTTCATTTTTCAAAGTGAATCCTTTGGAGTGGGATATTAATTTGAGAGCATTGGGAATATTCTACGAGCGGAGCTTTGATTAAAAGATGGTATGAATTGGTGCTGAGAATTGAGTGCTTCAAGGCCAGATTTTAGTGCCATCAACTCGTGCCCGATTAAAAAAATAATAAAACTTCATGACGGTAATATAAAAACAGCTTAGATAAAACTAACTTTTTGCACCCTACACGTGTCAAATTATAAGTAAGGTCTTGAATCATTTTTATCTGCC